TAAAACGACAATTACTTTGCCACTAGTGACACTTCCATAATAATCATCATGTAATTCTAAATCTTGTAATTTGATAAAATCAATTATTCCTTTCACTTCAGCATCAAACTTTTTCAATACTTCGATATCGTCTTTTATTGTCCCATTCATAATTAATATATACTCTTAATTTCCATATGTTACCAGCAAAACGTTAGATGTTGAGTATGTGGTAGACAGCAGGAAAAAACACCAGGATATTTTATTATGCCAAACTTCTCTAGAAACCAAGTTGCATCACGTGAAAATTGATTTAGAACTGGACGACGGCTTATAAACAATTTTAATAAATGTTCAGATAATATTCAACAACCATTGACACCAATACGCTCACCTCTTCGAAGATTAAGCCACCACCAAAGTGAAGAACACGTAAATATTTTCCGTAATCGAATGTTGGTCGTGATGAGGTTGAAGAAGGAAGGAAGGTTTAAACAGTTATCATTTAGAATTTGTTTTTCTTCATCCCTCAAACAAGCAATATACACTTCAATTGTTTAACATGTAAAGCATTAGGACTTTTCCAATATATGCAGCTTCTTAACATTAATGTCAATTTGCCAGGATGCAATATATTTTCATAATTTTAATCCACTCAAAAGTTCCTCCAAGATAAAGATTTGGTAGGATGATGCAAAAATTATGTCACACGACTTCAAAATTTTAATTTGAAAATTTCAAAAATGAATCAATTACAACAAAATGGTACGATCTTTTGTTATAAATGAAACTTTTATATAAATTTTTTTAAAATAACAAAATCTACTATACGAATTATAAAACATCTATATCAGAACAACAATCATTACCAACATCAACAGCAGCAGATACTAGTAGTATAGGAGTACTTAGTGCACAAAGGATTCAAGATCTTGAAAAAATTGAAAAAGTATTTAATAAATAAATGAAATTATTTTTGGTTTGAAAGTAATATAACTATACATATTTTCTAGATGATTGTGGAGTTATTAAATGTAGCAGCTCAGGCCATTATGTGTTTAGCATCAGACGGACATGTTAACAAAGATACTATTGAAGAGTCTAAACATAGAAAGCTTAGTGAAAATGAACAAATTCAAATGTTTGAAGACTTGACAAAAAATTTTGGAGAATTGATAGATGTGAGTTAATTATTCACTGGTATTATCAAAGTTAGTCAGACAATTGATTAATATTAATGATGATTTATTTTTT